ATGGCCTTGTCAAGTAATCAAACGGGAGCGAATTGCACTAGGAGTCTTGGATAAGGGTTCTGCAGGCAATCAATCCGACCCTACATTTTCTTTAGGATAGTCTGCTACACGAGGTATAGGAAAAAAAATATAAAGATCACGAAATAGTTTGCTCAATAAAGTTAGACCCTATTTAGCACCGATTAAAATTGGATTCTCGCTCCTCTACCGTGAGAATCTAGCAAAAGCCCGCCAAACGCCATTGATTCTTTCGACTGCCCCCTCTCATCCACTGCGAGAATGAACTACGATGCCAAACAGGGCCTACTGCTGTGGCACACTAGCAGCATGTTCGGTTGGCTGGTTCGTTTCGTTGCTGGTTTGTGAAGAAGTACTGCTGACTGGTTTGTGTGAGAGAAAAATACTGTTCCGACTGAAAATTCACGATCGTTTACGACGAACCACAGCCAAACAAACAAGCCGTAGATCCTTAAAGCAAAAACATTCAAGCTTCACACGGTAAAAACAATGCCTCAGTCTACCACTTGCAGCTCTCCACTATAAAGTATTCACATTGCTGAGTTCCTGTGCATGCACCACGTAGTACACACTTAAACAGTGATGCCAAAGCTGAACACAACAGCTAGGCAATACCTTCCTTTCCTTCCTGGAACAATCAAAAGAGCAGAACAGTGTAGCAGCGTCCACACAACAGCCAATATTCCTTGACCCACACTCCTCCCTTTCCATGCAGAGGTAAGGTACCCTTTGCCTTTACTAGGCGATTGAACGAAGCTGAAAAAGGCCGGCCGCATCAGAAACATCTCTCAAAAGGGGAATAACAGTTAACTCAAAGTCTTCTCCTTTCCTTGCATTTGCATCTGCATCTTTTTGTTCCTTGCTGCTGCAACAAAACCAAGAAACAGAAAGCCTTTCTCCTTCCCGGGAGGAAACAACTTCTTCCTCCTGCAGTCCTGCCCATAAAAACACTCGCCTCCCCACCCTCCCAGAGGCCCACACCACCAAGAAAAATAAATTCAGAGAAAGGGGGAAGGGGAAGCAGACAAGTAGCTAGCTGCGCTGCGTCTGCCTCCTCCCCTGCTCCCAGACTCTCTGCCTGTCCTGCCCGGCTGCCCCGATGGCTCCGAGGTGGGCCTCGCCCGCTGGCCTCGTGCTTGTGGCGCTGCTCGCACTGCTGCCGGCGCGCGGGGACAAGCCCGTGAGGGGCGGGGCGTCCAGCTCGGTCGCCGGGGCGGAGACGGAGCCGTCCTCCGCCGTCTTCCCGCTCTACGGCGACGTCTACCCGCACGGGTGCGTTCCTCCTTCTTCCCGAAAAAATTGCAAAAATAACGCTCGAAAAGATGGACTCGTTGATTACGATGACACTCGGTGGATCCATGTCTATGAATGTAGGTCAGCGTAAAATCTGCAAACGACCGATGTTGAGTCCATTTTTGCAAATCGCCCCTTCTTCCCCCTCGCTCTCGCTCTGCTCTGCGTGGCCAGCCAATCTGTTTCCGCCCATTCCCCTTCGCTGACTCCAAGAGCCACGAGTCCACGACGAACCAATCAACTGATTGCCACTTTTGGTTCCATTCGGGTGCCCCGTAGATTTCCGTGCGCATTGCTCTGTTCCTTCTTGGAGCAACATAATTGTTCAGTTGTGGCAGTGATGGATCATCTTTTTCAGAGAGAAAAAAAAATCATTTTTTGATCAACAAAATCGATTTCTTTTGCAGCTTGTACTATGTGGCCATGAGCATCGGCAACCCGCCCAAGCCATACTTCCTGGACGTCGACACCGGCAGCGATCTCACCTGGCTGCAGTGCGACGCGCCCTGCAGGAGCTGCAACAAGGTACCGTTCCTTCCTTCGCCGTCCGTTCCATGGCTCGCTGATTTCTAATTCAGGTCGGCCAAGGATGCTGCCATCACGAGTTGTTCACGGAATCATGGTGGTGTTAGTTGAAGGATCATTTTTCTATCTTGGGACTGTTTTGGCCCAAAGTTTTTACCTTGATTGCTTTATTGTTTACGTAGGCACTGGTTTAATTTAACAAATTCACATTCAGGAAAATCAGTAACTGCTGATTTGTTGATTAGGCTACTTCCGCTGCAAATATCATAGTTCGGATACCATGTAGGCACAATATTCTGTTAGTTAGTTTGATGTTTCTTGTCAAACGAAAAGTCAGTTCTGTCGGAAAAAGAAGGATAAAGTTAGATTGGTGTAGTCTACAAATGACAGTCACGAATCAGTTCAGTTCAGGAATTGGTATTTTCTCCCGGATGTCCTATTCGGAATTGCTTTCCATTTCAAGATTTGTCGTCTGGTCATTTCTTAGTCTTGCTAGATTGCTTCTATTTGTTCTAGCCCAACATTTTGAATCAAATACCATGCTTAATATACTTATTGGCATTGGCTTTTTTGGTGCAGGTGCCACACCCACTCTACCGGCCAACAAAGAACAAACTGGTGCCATGCGTGGATCAACTGTGTGCCTCCCTCCACAACGGGCTAAACAGGAAGCACAAATGTGATTCACCGAATGAGCAATGCGACTATGTGATTAAGTATGCAGATCAGGGGTCATCCACCGGTGTGCTCGTCAATGACAGCTTCGCGCTCCGCCTCGCAAATGGCTCTGTTGTTCGCCCCAGTCTGGCATTCGGGTATGCTACTTGCATCCTGTGAGGTGTACAACAACAACAACAACAAAGCCTTTAAGTCCCAAACAAGTTGGGGTAGGCATCCTGTGAGGTGTACAGCTTCGCAAAATTAGCTTCTTGAATTGGTATTTTTTTTGCTGCTTCCATTTGTGCAGGTGTGGTTATGACCAACAGGTCAGCAGCGGTGAGATGTCGCCTACTGACGGTGTGCTTGGGCTTGGGACTGGATCAGTTAGCTTACTTTCACAGTTCAAACAGCATGGAGTCACCAAGAACGTGGTTGGCCACTGCCTCAGTCTAAGAGGAGGCGGGTTCCTCTTCTTTGGTGATGATCTTGTGCCTTATCAACGTGTGACATGGACTCCTATGGCTCGCAGTGCTCTCCGGTGAGCATCATAGTCCTTTAAAGTTGCAAAGAAACCTGTTTCCTTTGGCATTTTCAGATGAGATCAGAATAAAATTGTGGCCTTATTCTCCCTTTCAAATTGTCATAACTTCATATTTTATGAATTATTATCCTAGCTTGACTTAAGCTTGCATTTCCAGGAATTACTATTCCCCTGGCTCAGCAAGTCTGTACTTTGGTGACCAGTCGCTGCGTGTGAAACTGACGGAAGTAGTCTTTGACAGTGGAAGCTCATTCACCTACTTTGCTGCACAGCCATATCAAGCACTTGTCACCGCTGTAAGTTTAAAAACTTCTTCTCATGTAGTGGAAATGATTCATGAGTAAACATGGGGCTAATGAGGTTTTGTTTCTTGCAGCTTAAGGGTGACCTAAGCAGGACGCTGAAAGAGGTATCTGACCCCTCTCTGCCTCTGTGCTGGAAAGGGAAGAAACCATTCAAATCTGTGCTTGATGTGAAAAAGGAGTTCAAATCTTTGGTGCTGAACTTTGCCAATGGCAAGAAGACGCTCATGGAGATCCCTCCTGAAAACTACCTCATTGTTACAGTAAATATTCCATAACCCGAGGAATTATTATCAGCGGCAGTAAGTTGGTGGTGGCTAAAATCTCTTTCTCTGTTTGTGTCAGAAATACGGCAGTGCTTGTTTGGGCATCCTCAACGGATCCGAAGTCGGTCTCAAGGATCTGAGCATTCTTGGAGGTACGAAGTTTAGACAAAACCAATTAACCCCGTTTAAGAAGTTTATTTATGATTCGCACGACAATTGATGTTCTTTTTTATTTCTCTTGCAGACATTACGATGCAGGATCAGATGGTGATATATGACAATGAGAAAGGGCAAATTGGATGGATTCGTGCACCCTGTGATAGAATCCCCAAGTTTGGATCCTCCGCCCTTCTGTGATCATTTCACACCCCTGTACAGTGAACATACACCCACTTAATTCATTTCTATCTATCCAAACAGCGACAATACCATTCATGGATTTGAGGAAGGTTATTGTTGGCCTCAATTCCCGGGGATCATTGGTCTTCCGAACGAAGATTGCCCAGCCTATTACCGTTCAAACAAAGAGTGATTTGCCGAGGGGAGGCCGCTAGAGTGACAGAAAGAACAGAAGGATGATCACCACGGGGAGGCTGGACAGTGTTAGGATCATGTATTCTTTAGGAAAGAGAGAAGCTAGTCACATGTAAACATCATAATGTTCATATGAAATATAATGACCACCCTGTTAAGAGATACAACGAGTATTCAGTATAATCTTTTCGAGCTTTTCTTCGTACATTCTTTACTTGGCGTTGTATTGATGTGATATTGTGATATATACTACGGTTCCAGGTGTCTAGCGACTATGTGTGATAGGCAGGCAGCAGCTTGTCTTATTCTTCAGGGGCGTTGTGTGGAGAATAGCCCCTGGAAACGATGATGCTTCAGAAATACGTCAGGAAGACTTGTGTGTTAGATTATGTCCTCAAGACGTGTAGTAGACTAGTAGCTGGGTAAACTTGTATTATTACTGGAAACAAGGTATTTGTTACTGGAGATCACCTTGTTTGTTTCAGACAGTACTGAACTTGTTGCAGCAGGCATTATTGTTTGCCCTATTGTTAATCGTTCTTACTTGTTGCAAACCTTGAAATGCTTTGTTATGGACAATCCAATGGGATGCGTTCTAATTAGATGTGGTAACAAATGATAGCTTTCTGCTATAATCTTACAGTACAACTTGGAAGGTACAGAAACAAGTCTAAAGTTAAAAAAAAAGAAACAAGTCTGTCCTGGCCACTATTATACACATATGACAATGAAATGATGCCACTACCGAGTTTCAGTGGCAGATACTACTTCACAGAAACAAGCTTCTCCGGTCCTTGGCTCCTTGCAAATTACGAGCTCCACGCATGCATAATTGCACATGCATGTGTGTACTTGCGAGGTTTAGCCACTGAATGGGCGAAAAACCTTGAACGCGCCCACGAAGCTGGCGATGGACCCTGCTGTGGCGACGACCGACACGACGAGGCACACGGCGGCGAGGGCCTTGAGGCAGATCCACTCGGTGCTGCCGCGCGTCACGGCGCGCTGCTTGATGTACATCTCGACGGGGAAGTAGACGGTGAGCGGCCAGAACGTGAAGGCGCCGATGAGCCCCACCACGCTGCCGAAGAATGGCAGCGCCATGGCGACCACGGTGGCGAGGCACACGAACGCCGAGCGCCACACCAGCCGGAGCGCGCTGGGCGCGAAGGGCCCCACGCGGAGCTCCTTGGAGATGAACGCGCTCTCGGGCCACGCGGCGGCGGCCCGGCTCTCGACGAACGCGTAGATGGGCTGGCAGAACACCTGGTACGCGCCGACGAGGTGCACGACGATGGCGGCGTTGGCGACGTCGACGAGCCAGAAGGGCTCGTGGAAGCCGAAGCCCGTGAGGAGGTTGTCCGGCGCGGCGTTCCCGAAGGCGGTGTACCCCATGCAGCCGCACAGCGCGTAGAACGCCGTGATCGTGGCGATGCTGAGCGCCGTGGCCTTGTTCATGACCGCCGTCTCCGACGGCGGTGGCGCCTTGATCGTGTCCTGGATCTCGATGAGCACGTTGGAGAAGGAGTAGGCGAAGGCGATGTTGCCCAGCGCCTGCATCGTGCTCCAGGCCTTGTGCGCGACGGTGACGCCGCCCGCCGCGCCGCCGACGGCGACGCCCGTGAGCGTGCCTCCGAACCCGCCGTTGGCTACGGTCTGTGCGACGGCGAGGCCGATCCCGATGCCGGAGTAGGTGAAGGACATGACGGAGGCGACGATGGACAGCCACTGGATCTGATGGAAGCCGGGGATCTGCGAGAAGACGATCTGGGTGGCCCCGAACGCGATCATGTAGGGCACGCTGGAGCTCTGGCTGCACGCGTCGGCGTGGTGGCCCCGGCCGTGGAAGCAGTTGGCCTTCCACACGGCCTGCATGCTGATGGACGCGGCGATGGTGTAGCCGACTGCGACTGCGGCGAGGTTGGCGTACTGGATGACGCCGCAGAATGTGACCTTCCAGCCGCCGAGGATGGCGCGGACGGCCTCCATGTACGAGTAGTTCCGACGGCCGCCGCCCGTGGCGGCGGGGTCGTTGCCGCTGCCGCCGGTCCGGTAGCACTCGGCGAGCAGCGTGGAGGTGTAGTACGTGGCGCCGCCGAAGACGAGCAGGACCGGGGCCCCGCGGCCCAGCCGAGCTGCGCCACCGCCCAGGGGAGCGAGAGCACGCCGGAGCCGATCACGGAGGTGACGATGTGCGCGCTGGCCGTGAGGACCGTGCCCGTGCGGCGCGGGCGGCCGTCGTCGTCGAGCTCCGCCGAGTGCTCCGCCAGGTTGCCTGCCTCCAGAGAGACCTCGGTCGGTTTGATCTGCACCATGGCGGCGAGACGGGGGTGTGACGACTGACGACGTGATCTTGTGGTGTGTGTTTGGACTTCGGAGGCAGAGGACTGAGCGGGTTTATAAGATGGAGTGGTGCGTCAGAATTCGAATTCGAATTCGAATTCGAAACGAACACCAAGTCGGATGTCGGAATAAACAGGGTGTCGGACACGGACAGTCAGGTTCTCTCCGGATTCGATCCGGCTCATTTCATTTCTTTTCCACACTCTAGTTCGTGATCACCAAAATTTCAAAAGAGTATTGCAACTCCCAAACAGGGCGTAGAGGGGGAAATGCAACAGGAATCATCGGGCCCATCGCGCCATCCTGCCTTCTGTTCTGTTTCTCTAGAATATTCGGCCCAGATGCATTTAGGTCCAACGTGCATCATAAAGCCCATTTCAAATGTATGTTGTAGATTATTATGAGAATTCATTTTTTCTTCTTTTCTTTTCTATTTTTCCTTTCCCTTTTTTGTCCTTCTATTTCATGTAGTTTTTGTTTTTATTTTCATTTTCCTATTCAATTTTGACTACTTTTATTTTTTGTCTAACTATATTCTTTTTTTTTTACAAAAATGTTTGTAAAGGATGCATTTTTTATTGTTTCTATGGGAGATCTTCCTTGGTGTCTATTCTTGTTGTCTATATGGTATCCGTATATGTTCCATGATGTGTTTTTATTAATTGTTCATGCAGTGCACATGAGGTGTTCCATGATATATTGTGTTATTCATATAGTAATAGTATATCCACATGATATTCCATGACCACAGGACCCATGAGATTTATTATACTCCTTTTTATGATTTTTTTTCATGGATTTTAATTTTAGTTTCTGATTTATTATTTTTAATAGTTATTTTTCCTTATTTATACATTTATACATTGCGTATTTTGTCATGTTTCAAGAGTACCCGTGAGAAGTTCATGTAATATCCAAATATTATGATGTTCACATACTACCCATTAGAAGTTCCTTGGCATATTTGGGTTTTTTTCACATAGTATTCAATATTCATTTGATTTCCATGGTGTATTTTTTATGCTTCGCATAGTACCCATGAGATGTGTATTTGTTGCATTTTGTTATCCATGTAGTATCTATGAGATGCTCTTGACATACTTTCAATCGTTTCCACAATCTCCATGAGGTGATTTTTTTCCAACTATTGGATATGAATATCATGGAATATCATTATCTTAAAACTAAACCTTACTCTTATATGGAACAATATTCATATCCTGAACCAAAACATTTTTTAAGCATGTTTCAACCATGATCTCTGCTTGATAGCTACCATGGTGGACAACATGGGCCGACTGGTATTTAGCAGAAGGCCCACTCCCATTTATAACCTCCTCCCGCAGGTGCTCGACTAACTTTAACTTATTTCCTCACCCCCGTGCAAAGCAGTTGCTCTTTGTTCTCACAACACAGTCACACGCTCTCCAACCCATGTCCCGCGTGACACTCCTTCTCACTATTTCATGGACTCCTCTGATCCTCCAAGGTCGTCCTGCGTCCCTCTGCGAGGATTGGACTCCTCCCTAGTCGAGACGGCCTCCTCCCACCTAAGGCCACGACGACATGATGAGTGACTCCACCAACCCCACTGCTGGTCCTCCTTAGCTTTTCCCATCTCCCGACCTCGACGAGCACTGTCAATTCCTCCCCTCCCTCCCATTGGTTGGAACATCGGATCCTCTTTGCGACCGCCCCAATACAATTCCCCCAGTAAACTGATATTGGGGTAGCCCAATACTACTTTTTGCATTATTGGGGAGAGATGCTGCAGCAGATCACCAATAATCTCCCCCAATATGTGGAACCTGCTTGTCAGTTTTTATTATTTATTATTTTCTCTTTCCTTTCCTCTCCCCTCGGTTCATCCTTCGCATCGCGACCTGCACCCCGCGCGGTCCGTCGCCTCCGCCGCCGCTGTTTGTGACCTGCATCGCCTCCTCCTCCGCCGGCGTCCGGGACCTCCACTTCCGAAGCCTCATTTGCTGGCGTCCGGGACCTCCACTTCCGTCTTGCTGCTGAGGCGTGGGATCCAATCCATGGCTTCCCGTTGCCTTCGTCCTCTTGCGTGGGAGGAGGAGAGGAGGCCGACGCCGTCCAGGTGAAGAAGTCGAGCATGGCAAGCGCAGATCTAACTGACCACGTTTCTCTTCCTCCCCGTGCGCACCTCCGCCCGTCCTTGGCGCCCCTCCAACCAGCCATGGCGTTCCTCCGCCCGTGCGCACACCCCAGCCTCGGTGCCCCTCTGCCCCCGGCCATGGTCACGGACGCGAGCTCCCACCGGAGGAAGATACGAGTGGTGAGCAGAGGAAGAAGATGACATGTATGATGGGGCCCATTGTATCGGGGGAGATGCAACTCCCCCTTCATTTAAGGGGAGAAGGGGTGTGGCCGCCAAAAAAAGGGAGGGCTATTGGAGAACTACTGGAGAGAGAAAAAAAGTAACTATCTTCTCTCAATATGACAGTTTTATGGAGATGAAGGGTTGGTTTGGGGATGCTCTGCACTTCTCTCCCTTCGGCTCCTTTGTCTTCAGCGTCGCTTGGTAAACGGGCCTCAAGCCATCCCCGCTACGGCTACGGCTTCCAGACTCATTGCCAGCTCGGCATGGAAAAGGCCACGACGCCGGTGGCCCCACTAATCAGCATAGCTCGGTGGCATGGTATATTGTGCGTGGCCCCGTGTGTCACGGGACCGTTCACTAGGCTCGTGCTGGGCCGGGCCGGGCCAGGCCAGGCAGCTCGTTTGGCTATGTATATGCCTTAGCCACCAATAACTTGCTCACATGCCCATTTTTTATGACAATTTTTCCTCCAAACCAAAAAAAAAAAAGAAAAGAAAAGAAACAGACATTGTCAAACAAGACCGAGCACGGGTGAATTTTCTATGGCCCAGTTTCACTCTGAAGTCTTCGTACGTAGCACTCCTGATACCTATTTATGGACTGTTCTGAAGTCTTCGTGGCTGATATTTTTCCCCTATGGACTGGGTCTCTCACAGACCAATGACATATCCCGTCAGTATCCATTTCACCTCGTGGTGAATTTTTCACGACGTGCGGACTGGAACTGACGACCGTGCATCGATCTCTAGCTCCTTTCTCTTCCCTTTATAAGCATGTCTGCATGATGATTAAAAAACTTCACAAACTCAAAGCAGACCACACAGTGGGAGCATATGCTCCTTAGAGCTGATTTTACTTTACCACTCAAACTGACAGTAAGAGTCCAATGCTTCGCGACGTCAGTGAGCTCTCTCAAGCTCTTCTGACAGGCAGCTTCATCTTCTTCTCCTTGATGGGCCAACTCCCGGACAGCGTCTCGAGCTGCGCTCCGGGTGACAGGATTGCACTAACCAGCTTCTCTAACAATCTGGACACAAAGACCAACCGATGGCCAGGCGCCGAGAACTACTCCGGCGACAACTGTTGCCGGTGGACCGGTGTTCGTTGTCGCCGGTTCGGGTCCGGAGCATACCAGCAACTCCGGGTTGTCAGCCTGGACCTCGCCGGCCTGGGCCTCACTGGCTCCGTCGTGCCGAGCTCGCTGGATCGCCTGGACAGGCTGCGCGTCCTCAACCTCTCCCGGAACTCGTTCCGCGGAGCCGTCCCGCCGGAGCTACTACGCATGCCGCGGCTGCGGGTGCTGGACCTGAGCCAAAACAACCTCACTGGCGTGCTGTCGTCAGGGGCCGGACCGTCGTCTTCTCGCACCTCGAGGATCACGCACCTCGACGTCTCCTTCAACGGCCTGACGAGTCTGCGGGCCGACGTGTTCCAGGCTCTTCCGCTGCTGCGCAAGTTCTCGGCCGAATCCAACCAGCTCACCGGCGTCCTACCAGGATCACTCTCGTCGTGCTCGGAGCTCGAGTACCTGAACATGGCGAATAACTCCCTCCAAGGCACTCTCGGTTCGACCAACTTCTCGCGCCTGACGAGGATTCGCGCCCTGGACCTCGGCTGGAACCGCTTCCACGGCCGTCTCCCCGCGAGCCTCTCGCTCTGCCGGGAACTAAGCGTGGTGAACCTTCGCCGGAACAGCCTGTCGGGGCCGGTGCCGTCCTCCTTCCGGCAGCTCCGGGCGCTGACCTTCTTTGACGTCGGCGACAACAGCATCACCGGCGTAGCGCGGGCGCTCCGTGCGCTACAGGAGTGCCGCCGCCTCGCCGTCCTCATCCTCACCACCAATTTCCGAGGAGAGGAGATGCCCGGCGACGTTGCCGGCATCCGTGGGTTCCCGAGCCTGCAGTTGCTCGGGATCGCCAACTGCGCGCTCCACGGCGCCGTGCCGCCGTGGCTGCGCGCCAGCGCTCGCCTCAACGTGCTGGACCTGTCATGGAACCGCCTGAGCGGCCGGATCCCGGCGTGGCTCGGCGGCTTTGAAGGGGTCTACCGGATAGACCTCTCGAGCAACGCGCTGACGGGGGAGATCCCGCGCTCCCTGACGCGTCTCAGATCTCTCACCGGCGGTAATGTCTCGGCGCGCGTGCAGCTGTCCATGTCCAACTACGGCGTGCGGCTTTACAACTGGCACGTCGAGCGTGGTCAGCTCTGGTACGACCGCTACATCCCGCCGTCGCTGGACCTGAGCCGGAACCGCCTCGCCGGCGCGGTCCCGCCGGAGCTCGGCGACCTCGTGGCGCTCAACCTGCTGAACCTGAGCTGGAACGCGCTGTCCGGGCCAATCCCGGCTACGTTGGCTTCCCTGAGGGGCCTGCAGACACTGGACCTGTCGTACAACGAGCTGGCCGGGGAGATACCGGCGTCGCTCACGGCGCTGACCTTCCTGTCGTGCTTGGACGTCTCCCACAACCGGCTGCGAGGCTTCATCCCCGACACTGGCCAGTTCTCCACGTTCCCGTGCTCCAGTTTCGCCGGCAACCCTGACCTCCACGGCGTGTACTGTGGTGGCACCGCCGCCGTCGATGCAGGAATGGCGGGGCACGACTGGCCTTTCCTCACTACTGCAATCGAGATTTTTGGGATGCCGTTTATGCTCGGGATGATCGCCGGTCTCTGTGCCACCATGTTTGTTCATGTGCTTGTGTCAAAGAGTACGATGCGCTTCGTTCATAGAGCCTGCTTTTTATTAGAAATTTAAAAGATCTTCGTTCTAAATTATAAGATGTTTTAACTAACATATTTGACTTGTCTTATTGGCAGCAGCAGCAATGACTGCACGGTTGCACTATTTAACTTGTCTTATTGGCAGCAGCAATTCGCTTAGGCTGAAAAGCACTGCTGGCTGATGGCTGAAAGTACTGTTGACTGATTGTTGTGAGAGAAAAACACTATTCTGGATGGCTGAAAAGCCGGCTAATAAGCCAAGCGAACAAGGGCACTGCCAAACCTAGTGTGGCTAGGCAAGCCAAACCTTGTTACTCCGGACCAATTAATTTGGATAGGCTACTTGAGCAAGAAAAAAATTCCCAATGTGGAGCCCAATGTAAGTGAGTTAAGATTCCAAACATCTAGCTTAGTTTTAACTTCTAGCTCAGCAAGGTAACACAATGCTAGAAAATATTCTAAATATGCTCTTAGTCCTTCTATTATCCCTTGTTTGGCAAGGCTAGACCTAATAATTAGCCCTATGAATTCATACATGGCCTAATAGCATCTTCAGTGGCTCGAGAAAACATAATCCCTTATATTGGGTTAAAAGGAGATTGAGAAAACACAATTGTTGATTATAGGGGAGATGTGCTCCCGTAGATTGAGTAATTCTCATCACCTTTATACGTAGAACCCACCTATCATTTGAAAAAATATCGTTCACCTCTTTGCTCCCTCTAGATCTTCTAAGCGCACGACTGTCACATTGACAACGTTCACTTGTGCACCTGGAATGATGGTGCGACAAGCTACACCTACTCGCCCCTTCACTCAGGTGTATAGAGTGATGGCGCGCTCAATTGGAGGAACGACACGGCAGCGGCTCGGTTGCTTGGAGCGGTCTGAGCAAATGGTGCTCTCTAAGGCAACAAACTCATCGCTGCTCAGCAACAGTGACCGATCAAGGATATGGAAGCTTAGGGGCCTAAAAGTCCATCTTCAAACTCCGGCCTCTCCTCCTCAAAGCAACCATGGCAAAAAATCTTAGAGGGGATCGAGCCCCCTGCTAGATCCGTCTCTGCACAACATGGATCTCTTCTTCTAATCGCTACCTGCCACTAGACGCTAGGCCAGCTGGTTTAGCGCTCTCAGTAACACCATCCCGATGCAGGTTCGAACCCCAGGTGTGGCGTACCCGTGCGTTGTTTTCGAGGATTCATCGAGCGAGGTAAACAAACTCCCTAGTTTGCCTCACTTCCAAAGCATAGGTCTGCGCCTAGCCCATCTCACGAAGCTACGGTACCGCTGTGTATGGATGGAGCAAGGGTTTAAGGTTTTTTTTTTCATTGGCGGACACAGTACGTGGACATGGGTGTATAGATGTACACCCATTAATTTTGAGAAAAAGATTACAGCTACTATGCATATACATGTATATAATACAAATAAGTAGACCAGATTATGTGTGTTTGATCCAAATAAGAGTAAAAAGGCCATGTTTCTTGAATTCTCGTTCCTCCTGTCCACCATCTAGCTGGCCGACCTGCTAGCCCAAGAAGGAAAGTTATGGAGAAACCCGTGGTCGCCTCCAGTGGTTGTCATCCCCCGATTTGACTCGAACAAAAATCCCCTTCCTCACCCTCACCTGCGTAGTGTTGCCCCACCACCTATGGCACCGCCAGGCGCCGGTGGGCGCCGGCCGGTTGGCGGTCGTCGTTGCGCGGATCTAAGCTTTGAGGGCAAGATGCGCCTAGAAGAACCCATGGCCGATGCGGATCGATGCGCCTGGACATGAAGCGGAGGCTGGACCAGAATGGGGGATCAGTACTTCAATGATTGCCTGGTTACGTTCATTGAGAAGCAATTTTTTCTTTGTGTTGCGTCGATTCCAAAAGCCGCCTCGTCAAGTAAATTTGTAATGTTCCTTTACTAGTAGAGACTTCACAAATATTGTATGTATTAATTAATTGTACTATTGTACTCTTCTCTAGCACCGTTTGCTTTGATTTTTTTACAAAAATTTCTTTGAATTGGTGGATATTTAGCTTTACATATACCATGGTTCTGTATGTGCATATGTGTAGTATGTACACCCAATTTTCAATTCCTGCGTCGCCACTGGTTTTTTCTCGATCTGCATGAGAAGATCTTCTTAAGTCAGAATATCCGGTGGCTATCTAGCCACCGCGGGTCGAGTCTAGTTTAATGTGTGGATGCACTTTGGCGGCACACCTCTTTGGGGCACTTTGTTGTAAGCCTAGGTGCCACTGTGTTAGTCAGCTGTAGTGAACAAAAGGTCAGCTTGTAGGCCTTAATAAATTAAACTTTGATGGAATGGATCTGCAACGGAAAGAAAGTTAAATGAGTCAACCATGGAACAAGTTATGCTCAAGGAAAATATGAAATGACTGAAATCCCAAAAAAAAACATGTACGTTCCAGCCCGATCTCTTTGAGGGATTATGGGAGAAGTTTTTACAATTGGAAAAAACAATTAGGAAGCTGTTTTTTCAATCTTTTTTTGAATAATATAGAGAAAATTAATCTCCTTTCTCAATAAGTTGTTCCTTTTTTATAGGAAGAGTTGAAATTCCTTTGTTTAAGATAAAAGTGGTAAGTTTCGCAAAAAAAAAAAAAAAAAAAAAAAAAAAAGAAGAAGATAGAAGTGGTAACCGAGCTGAATGGTGGTGAAGGGCCTAATCCGCGGCCTCTTCATTTGGGCCGGGCCGAGTTATCCGAACGGCCCCATCTCGTGCCGTCGTCGACTCGCTGTGGCCACGTCCTCTACGTCTGCTCCACGGCGGCCCCGCCGCCGCACCGCCGTCGAGAGGTCCCAACTCCCAAGTAACCAAATGGCCGCCGCAATCCACTCACACGGCCGCAGCTCTCTTAGGGTGCCGACGAGGAGATCAGGTCGAGGGGTTCGGAGGCGCGGCGGTGGGCGAGGTCCGCGCCCTCTCACTCACACTGACGAGCCACAACGCGACGCCGCCCTCGCCCCCCGCGCGACCCCAACCTCCTCCCCCGCCGCACTTGTAGAGATTGGTGCTCAATTAACGTCCGACTGATCAAGTAAGCGCACATCAGTCATCAGCATATTTCTATTCCGAACAAATTGCAGTTCGGTTCACATTGCGTCCCGTTGGTTCCGTCTTCTTCATAGATGTTTCTTTCGTTTTCATCATTCCATTTGACTGCTCGGTTGGTTGCATTCCTGAAGCCAGTTGCAGCGATAAAGCACACGTGGAGGTTCAGAATTTTGCCCTGTAAACAGTAAACTCTCTTTGTGCAGGTCAGAGTCAGACGTTTGAATTCAACGTATCTAGATATCTCCACTTTGTTAATTCCACGCTGAGTCAACATCGTCACTGTTATCCTGTGCTTGCGTGCGGTTGTCTGTAGTCTGCAGTCTGCACCCATGTTGGTCTTTCATGTTGCACTCATACTACCTGCAAAACTATTCTAACTTATCTCAAGCTATTGCTGTCCATTAAGAATTTTTCACGGATCTTGCGTCAGCATTTGACGTGTCTTTTAGGGTGTCTAAAATATGGTTTCCTTTTTGTGTTGTTGCCATGTTTACAGAGAGTTCATGGTTTCTTTCCGGTCAAAAAAAAAAATGTTTCTTTTTCTTTCACCTTGCAGGAATGTCTTCATTTGAAGAATCGTCATTGTAGCTGCATATAATGATTAACGAGGTGCAATGGCTTTGCCTTGAGATTTACCGTGAGTGTCCACCAAAGGCTCCTCAAAGGGAACTGCCCAAAGGGATGCAAGGTTTCCAGGTGAATAATAATCCTTGTACTTGCATCTGAAACACAACCTCATAAAATCCTACATGAAATGTACAGGACTTTTGACTTAGCGTATCAACTAATAGGTGCAAAATCTATTCATCGGTGCAAATATATTTATTTCCTAAATGAATGAAGGAGGTTATGCTTGTGTAGGATACAACTCTGTATTCTATTGCTCTTACCTTTTTTGTCTGTTACCTTCAGATATAAATGTATTTTAACTGTTGGCTAAAAATGGTGTGTGGGCTATATGACCCCTCCAGTTCTCGCCTAAAAAACTGAAAAGTTGACCACCGTACCATGCATGGAAATGTCAAGTCAAACAATGTTAATTGATTGCTAAAGATAAGCTAAATGAAGCAAACTCTGATAGGAGTATGTCAAATCAAGGAACATTATCTATGTTGAAGAAAAACTCTACTTTTCTTGAACCGTGTTTGAACTTTCAACCAATGTCAGCCAAGTCAGTTATCATCTTTGATTAAACTACCAATTCTCATGGCCACAGCTTTGTATTGTTAAACTGCAACACGTTAGACATAATAACACAGCTGCTGGACCTCTAACACCACATATATCTGCGATCCCTCTCCTCCAATGATGCTAATGCCTCTCATGGCTGCTTCTTGCTTAATGCTAATCCTTGCACTCCTTGTTACCTTTTCCATTACAGCTAATACCGCAGGCGGGTTAGCTCATACTAGTTACCTGAAGAAAGGCTCCTACCTCTCTGTTAATCGTGCTTCTGATATCATACAATCTCCTGATGGCACCTTCTCGTTTGGTTTCTACAATCTTTCCTCCACTGCCTTCACCATATCCATCTGGTTTACCACTTCAGCCGATAGAACCATTGCTTGGAGTGCAAATCGCGATCACCCTGTGCACGGGAGTGGATCAGAGGTCAGACTGAACAAGGATGGTACCATGGTTTTAACGGATTATGACGGCACAGTTGTATGGCAAACCAACACAAGCTCCAAAGGAGCTGATTATGCTGAGCTCATGGATTCTGGGAACCTTGTTATGAAGGATCAAGGTGGCAATATCCTCTGGCAAAGCTTTGACCATCCAACTGACACGCTGCTGCCGACACAACCAGTGACAGCCTCTGCAAAGCTGGTATCAACAGATCTCTCACACCCTTCAAGCTACTATACTTTGCGCTTCGATGACCGTTACATTCTTTCACTTGCTTATGATGGACCAGATATTTCCAATCTTTATTGGCCTAACCCTGACTTCAGTAGCTGGCTGAATTACAGGATTAGTTACAACAGCAGTAGGAGAGGTGTTCTTGATAACCTGGGGCAGTTTACAGCAAGTGACAACACAAGCTTTGTTTCAGCAGATTGGGGTCCAGGTGTCATGAGGAGATTAACACTGGATCACGATGGAAATCTGAGGCTTTATAGCTTGAATGACAGCGACGGGAGGTGGTTGATTTCTTGGATGGCTTTCTCTCAGCCTTGTGAAATACATGGTATATGTGGTTGGAATGGTATTTGTGTTTACACACCAGTTCCAGCCTGCTCCTGCCCTCCTGGCTATGTGGTTAGGGATCCAACTGACTGGAGCAAAGGCTGCATACCAAAATTCAACCTCTCCTGCAGTGGTGATCAGCAAATGGGCTTTGTGAGCCTTCCTCAAACTGACTTCTGGGGTTCTGATCTTGACTACATCCCAATGACGTCACTGGATGCTTGCACCACTCTGTGCTTGGATACCTGCTCCTGCCTAGCTTTTGAGTACAAATCAGATAGCAATGGCTGTTTCTTGAAGTCTGTTCTCTTAAATGGAAAGACTGTCCCAGGCTATCCTGGCACAGCACACTTGAAGGTTCCTCAGAGCTTTTTGTCTGAAACAATCTCATATGTTCCTCAAAATAGTGAAATCCTAGATTGCAACGCATCAAGTGCAAAACTAGAAGTTCTAGTTTTCAATCCTGATGCACATAGTAATGGAAACAGTACGATGTGGCACTACTACTATGGGTTCCTTGCAGCATTGTTTCTTATAGAAGTCTGCTTCATTGCATTTGGTTGGTGGTTCATGGCAAGAAAACAATCAACACAATTGAAGATTTGCGAGGAAGGTTACAGGATGGTAACAGACCATTTCCGTAACTTTACCTACAAGGAGCTGAGGGAGGCTACTAAGAATTTCAAGGATGAGCTTGGTCATGGGAGGTATGGCTCTGTGTACAAGGGTATTCTACATGATAAACGTGTGGTTGCTGTCAAGAAACTCGGAGATGTGAAGCAAGGAGAAGATGAGTTCCAGACAGAGGTCAGTGTGATTGGGCGAATTTACCATATGAATCTGGTGAGAGTAAGGGGTGTATGTTCAGAACGGAAGCACCGGTTGCTGGCCGTAGAGTATGTTGATAATGGATCACTGGCAATGTTCTTGTTTGGCAACCACAGACTATTGCAATGGGATCAGAGGTACAAGATTGCAGTTGGCGTGGCCAAAGGGTTAGCCTACCTTCACCATGAGTGCTTGGATTGGATCATTCACTGTGACCTTAAACCTGAGAACATACTCTTGGACCAGGATTTTGAGCCCAAGATCAGTGACTTTGGGGTTGCAAAGCTGCTACAGAGAGATCAAACTGATCCAAACATGTCAAAGGTTCGTGGGACCAGAGGCTATGCTGCTCCAGAATGGGCCTCCAGCATTCCCATTAATGAAAAGGTGGATGTGTATAGCTACGGAGTGGTGCTTATCGAATTAGTCATAGGGCGAAGAGCATCTGAGTTGGCAGCGACTGGTACTGGTGATGCAGAGGTTGCTATGAGACAGTTAGTGTGGACAATCAGAGAGAAGCTGAAATCCGGTGACCTGTCGTGGATTATTCACTTTGTGGATCCTAAATTGAATGGCAATATTGTGCACTCAGAAGTTTTGTTGATGCTGGAGGTAGCTGCCATGTGCTTGGAGAAAGAGAGGAACCAGAGACCAAGCATGAACGATATAGTGGAGAAGCTTCAGTTCCGTTCTTGTAATAAATAATAAATTTGGCAACTTATGTGCATTTATGTTCTTTCATATGTCAAACTTCTGATTTGGTAATTTAGAATGCATTCCTTACTCCTTAGTACCTCCATAGCTTGCTCATTTCAACATTCTAAGATGCTGCTATTGCTGTTTTCAGTAATTATGGCGAGCATGAGCTCCTTATTATGTTACCTTGTCTTGTGAATTATTTTATTTATTTTCTAATTTGGCGGTCCCCTCTTTAGCCTCTCGTATAGGGCATCCTAAGTGCCTCTCTAATTCAGCCTTTTTTTTATAACATCTAATTCAGCCTTGTATGCTTGTTATCTGTGGGCTTGAGTTTTTTTTTTAATCAAAGGCAGGAGCTCTGTTGCTCAATGAAGACGAAAGAATTTGTCTACAAGAAGGTTAGTCAAGAAGATGCCCGCAGGGCACCCGAATGGCTAACTTACCCCATGTGACACAGTTGGGCTTCAGAGCATCTCTATGGCCTCTGTCCAGTCAACATAGATACCAGGGAAGAGTTAAATACATATCTTGCAGCAATATTAAATTCCTAAAGAGGGATTACCTCTGGTTGTTCTTCTGCCGTAGGACGCTATGACACTGATGCGACTTGAGTAATAAGGGCAGTCCTGATGGACATTGATGGTAGTTTCTATCTCTCTTAATTATACTTATTTTGCTGATGTGGCAAAGAAATTAATGAGGAGAGAGAGCCAAAACAAAGAAACGATTTCTACTTTACGAAACGAAGTCGACTCTGGTACCGAGAGAGGAAGAAACCGCCCAAATCGTGTTGGGGAGACGCTGCTCGTTTCCATCCTGTTGACGTCGAACGCGGTCCGAGCCAACACACTAGCGGGCTTTAGATGCCCAAAGAGGTTAATCCTACAACCTGCAACGCAGAAAAAACCAAGCGTAATCGACCAAACCGATCTAAAGACCGAAAAGAAAGGCCGATGTAGAGCTCGTTCAAGGCTGAAAACACTCTCGAACCACCTCCGGAAAGATCCGTCAGGAGGAAGCACGTGGAGGATCTCCTAGGACCAGCAAGACCGTCTAGGAAGCCAACAAATCTCGTGGAGAAACTTGCTGGACAATGATAGAGGTGGAGAGAAGAATTAGAGCAAAGGAAAATAGAGTTTTTGGTGTATTTTGACGATTGATAGGATGAGATCAATCAGCTGTGATCCTCTCGTTTATATAGAGGGGTGGTCTTATCCCAGTACGAAACAATCCCAACACGATCTCCAAGTTCCCCACGCTTAAAACCTTTCAAAACACGATTTTAGATAAAATCGGTTCAGAATCAGGCGACGCCCGGCTAAGTCGGCTTGGGGACCTGGCTTAGCCGGTTTTTGCGGGGCTCGGCAAGGCGCTGGCCTGGCCATGGTCGAGCTGGCTTAGCCGGCCTAGGGACCTGGCTAAGCCGGGTATGAGATGGGAGCCGGCCTAGCCGGCTACCAACCGGCCGAGGGCAAAGAGGAGCCGGCTCAGCCAGCTAGGTGACCCGGCTAAGCCAACTGGTCCTAGCTCGCCGTCTATTGTTGCTCCGTTTGCGACACCGTTCAACTTCAACCCCGGCTAAGCCAACTGGTTCTAGCTCTCCGTCTTCTCCGCACGATTGTTGCTCCGTTTGCGACACCGTTCAACTTCAACCATGTCGAGGACCTTCAAAACTTATTCACCTTGCCAAAATACTGCCGGACATCTTTGAGTGTCAACACATCCGATCCGCTGCGCCATGCCTTGGCCGCCGCCGCGCAGAATCCTGGCGCGCGCTCGCTCTCGCCGTCCGCACTGGCTCGCTCGCCCACACGCGCCTGGTCCGCCGGCAGGGAGCTCGCAGCACAGATCCTGACGGCCACCCATGGACGCCGCCGCCGGTGGCCACTGGCCAGCACCTGCGCGATGCCAGGCACGCAAGGCGGCGCGGTGGAGAGGTACATGCAGGGGAGCTCCCTAGACAGGTGCGTGCGGTCTGCTCCTTTCCGCTCGGCGGGCGACGACGCCGATGATAGCTACGCGCGGGGCCGGCGCGCGCAGTCGCGGTGTCCGTGGAGGAGTTCTGACCGTGGGCGACGGGGCCACGCCCAACACTGCGGTGTTCTGGCATGCCATCGCAAAGCTGGAGGCGAGGACTGGGCGTGGCGGGGCCAAGCTCGATGTGCCCCGGGGAGGCGAGGCCCGCCGAGGTGCCCGTGCACGTAGATGAGCAGAATCGCCCTATCAAAGGCACTAAGAAGATGAGCAGAATTCCCGGTGATTACCCAAGCAGCGATGAGCAGAATCGTCCTAAGCCACACGCCGGCAAGATTCTTCCTCCGCTCTTCACCTCAGTCCAATTAAAATCATCGACTGGAGATTCCCGGAGGATATTGGCGAGTTCCATCTTACAAAGAGAAGCAAGCAAAACTTGAGAAGATGCGGAGAGAAGCTAGCAAGACCGGCGGCTGGACACAGGCGATAGAGGACGGGCGTGAAAAGGAAGAAGTGCCTAATGCTCTCTGAGCCGCAGAGGATCTAGAGACGGGACAGAGAAATCCGGTAAATGATTGGGCAAATTTTTATCTGAAACTTGGTAGAAAATCTTGCATTGTGAAGGAGTGGTTTCTTGGTACGATATCCTATGTTATAGAAACTGCCTGATTTCTACCATTGGGACTGCCCTAAGGTGACACGAGTTCTGTTTGGTCTTTCTTTTCTTTCTCTTTCGACTTGACTATGTGCAAGCTTGCATTGTAGTAGAGAGAATGAGAGGCAGAGCTCCTGCCGTTCGTTTTTTTAAAGCACTGTAGTAGAGAGAATAAGCTATATTGCAGAATTGTTGAAAATTTGATTAAAAACTTAATTTACCCAGAAGTAAAGTGTTCGTTTTAAGGTGGCAGTATAGCCTGACATATTGTAGTTAGATCCCTAAATGGGAAGAAAACGTCTGAAGCAATTTTGATGTTACTGATATAGTTTTATAGATTGTTAACTTTATGATAAAGAAAATCTGCAATGACATAATTGTATTATTTTCATATATTAATTATATAGTTTCATTTGATTAGTGATGCTGGTAATAAGTTTGGGTTCCAGTTCAAACTTTCTTTTTTCTATCCTTAATAACACCACAAAATATTGTAGTGTGTATTTTTATTCACATGCAGTGTTCCAATTTTCCAGGACTTGTTATTGACCAAAGCTTTGAATGAACTTCTGTCAAGAGAATACAAAACTATGCCACAATAATTCCCATGTTGGGTTGATCATTTTATTCATGGAACTGTTTAATCTTACTTGCATTGAGATTACAGTATGAGCTTACGAAGTTTCCAGCAATATTATATTCCTAGAGAGAGATCATATGTTCCAGGTATGTGATTCTAAACGAATAAAGTTCCTCATTGTTTGACATTAGAGGCCATACAACTGAATGCAAAAGTCTTCCAATCAGACAAGTCGGGAAAAAATCAGTCTCATATCGCCAAGTAAATGAAAAAACAAGTTAGGGGATAAACCTTTGGAACCTTTGCCCCCTCCTCTCATGTACTCCCTCCATTCCAAATTATAAGACGTTTTGACTTTTCAGGTATATAGTTTTTTGCTTTGTACTTAGATATACACTATGTTTAGATACATAGTAACAGTAATATATGTAGAAAAGTCAAAACGTCTTATAGTTTGGAACACAGGGAGTAGAGGGCTAATGAAGGCGCGCAGGTCGACGTGGAGGATGGTAGGGCAAACACCTTCATGAAGGCCAAAGGTGCCAAGCTCACAGCAGAGACACAGGTGGGACCATTTTTGACAGCAGGATGTAGTGGTTTGGACAAGGAAATGCTGTAACTTGTACCCTGCCTATTTGTCTCCCATATAAATTTTTTAGGACAAAGGCTTGACAGCCCAGCTTATAGTGAAAGCTTAACAGAGTATTGCTGGGGTTACCAGCTTATAGAGACAACACGCCTAAACCCTCCACAAAAACCATCTAACCCACCACCAGAAGAGTTCTATCTATCAAACCAAAGATTTGGCTACACAACGAAAGAAACAGAAAACCAACGCCAGCAGCCACTCCAACAGAAAGCAAAAGATAGGTCTTCGAAGGCGCATTTCACCAGGTTGAAGACCCCTCCTTCAAATTCATCTCCACATTTTCCATCTTGCTCCAGTCGTCCTCCTTCGAGAGTTTGGTCCACTGCTTTAGGAAACCAAGGGATTTATAAGCTACCTGATGAGGAGACTAATCAATAACATTTGAAAACAAAAGATCGTTTCTAGTTTTCAAAGATCCCATCCTACACCCACTATTACCCACACCACGGCATGTTATTTCTACCCATTCCATCAGAAACTAAGAAATCCTCTTGAAAGGACTTGATTGATGTTGGAGACTTCGGCCAACCCAGAGAGTCCCTCACCCAACACCATGTAACCCTTGCTATTGGGCATTGGAACTAATACCTCATGCTGTACATGCATGAGGTGTAATTGTGTTTCCATATACTAAGAAGTAAACATTATAGAATACCTCGGAGCTCCCAGTGGAGATCCGCAAGGTCTTGTCTCACTTTCATTCATTTTGTGTTGATTTTCATTTAATTTGACTGAGTTCATTCATGTTCTCATTGAATCCCTTGAACCATTGAGACTTACCTTTTGCTGGTTTACGTTCAAGTCTAAGATTTCAAAAAAGAGTCCCAAATAAAAGAAACTGATGAATGTCTTTCCTGCGTGCTGCCTCGTCTCTTGGCATGCCGCCTGGGATCCCCCCCCCCCCCCCCCCCCCACCACCACCCCGGACATGATGCCTCTCTATTACTTAACCTTTTTTAGCACAATTTTTTACTTAACCAATCTGATGTATAAGATGTTTCCTGTAACCAATCTCTCCATCAAGAAATTAATATAGATGCATATCATCTACTTTCAGAAACCAAAGGAAAAAAAATCATGTCACTGTCAATATAGATAACCCAAAAATGTACTCTTATTTTTTTTTCTCTATATGTGTGTAATATTCC